TGGATCGGTTGGTGTCCACAGTAGAACAACTCGGGTCAATAGCGAATCATAGTATTATGAGGGTCATGGTCTTCACTTCTTATGTAGGTTTCGTATGTGATGGATTTCCGCAAAAGCTTTCTTTTATCACTTTTTTCTTTGTGGAGACAAACAAGACCTATTATTTGCGATCTATCGTTCATTACATAAAAATAAGATAAATTCTCTTTGTGTAGTTGTTCTTATTATAGTGTTTTCTTTGTTTCTTTGTAGATATGGGCAAAGGTTGTGACCTGACATTTGAAGCATAAATTAGCTTAGGATTATAAATTTACATTTCCGTCGAATGGCGCTAGCAAAGGGTCCTAGATGGTGTGGGGAAGTTTGAATGTTTGGGCGTATTCACCGTGGTCGAGTGCTTTGTAGCCGTGGACAAGGCTTCATATTTGTGATCCGATACTTTTAAACATAAAATTAACGTAAATTAGCATTGCACACCACTTTTTACTTGTTCCGATAAATGTGTGCTTTCTGATTTGCAGCTCTACGTTCCTTTATAGCGGTTCCATTAAGTGGTGCTGCCATCAGAAACTGATAGGTCTGGATATCGAGAAAATTTTGAAAGTGGGCGTGGCGTACTACCGTAATTTATGGGCGTGTCTAGTTACCGTAGTTAAGCGGGCTTAGAGGTACTACGTTAAAGGTTTTAAGTTAGGGAATTGCCTTTCCGCCTGGCAATGTGGATAATGTTATGGATCCAGATGTCATATTTTGTGTGATCGACATGGAAAGTTGTCATGCTGACATTGAGCAGGTCCATACCGTGACCTGCTCGTCTTTGCTTGCTGCGGCTAATACCAGTATAATGATTCTGATTAGTGTGTCTGGAAAGGCCGTGTTAAAGATTGCATCTGGAAAAGGGGAATTTTTCGTCCCACAAGTACATGCTTTTCTAAATCTTGACCTTACCTTTGGTAACGTTCTTACGGAGGGTTACCGCGATAACGAGTGCGGATATCGGTCATCTAGACATTATATGCGCTGTTTCCGGTACAGATACTCTTATGATATAGTACATCAAGGTGTGCTTCCTAAATACTGGAGCACCTCGTGATTTCCGGTTATTTGCCACTGGCTAAGGCTCACAGAATTTTGCTGAATTTCTCAAGACCTTAAGATCGATAAAAAAGTTGTCTGTTTTGTAGCCTGATGTTAAGCAAATTCATTTGAAAGGTCACTGTTTTGTTAGTGCAGTGATTTCATTTTTTTGAATGGTTTAATGCAATAGTTATCAATATTCGGCTCAGCTGCTTCTATGATCATCTTGTTGAAGATGATTCCAACATGGAAATATTCAACGATATTCATCTTGAAGAGAAGACCCATGTTGTTCCCTAGAAAAAATGATATGCTTTTGGACGAAAATATCAGTATGTACAGATGCAGCCTTCTATAGGAACTACATCTTCATTCATTTACTCATCGCACTTTTTACTGTGGGTATCATATTGACCCTGTTCAGATGACCTGTATCATCGAATCATGTAAGCATACACCATTTGAACCAGCTCTTCGGTTTGACTCAATTAGAATCTCAGTCGTTTCTATACATACGTCCCGCACCGGATTATCGAGTAACCTCAGAATGGCGTTATCAAGAGGCATCCAATGCTAAATTTGGTATCATTGAATCAGATCAAGCTGGATCGATTAATACCAAAAAAAGCGATTACTGACCGAGAAACCTCTTTGTCAGGAGGAATTGCATTGCAGATTTCAGTTTTCCAAGAATTTCACGTACATATGGTTGAGAAGTAGCAATGTTGTTGTTTCCGATTCTTGTTCAATTTCATGGTTTTGATGGATACTACTGAATACTGCCTACAAGCTGTTATGCACCTCACTCATGAGTTATTTCCTTCGGATAAGTAAGAATTTCAATTGCATCTACCAATTGTGACTGCTGGTCATGAATACATTGTTCATGTCAACTACCCTCAGTCAAGTCTTAAGAGGTTTTCAATCGAAAGCATAAATTTTATTGGATACTACCAAATCTAGGCCACAGGGAAGTGTGCATCTTGTCCATTGGTTTTTGTTTTTCTGAACGATAAGCAACTCAAATATTCATGTGTCTCTAAATCGTCGTATTCTCATCACCATAAGTCCCGTCATATGACATTTTTGGAAGTACCTTTTAATTATTGTGGATTTCTTGGTGCAGAAAGAATACAAATTAATACGCAAAACCATTCGTTTCGTACAAAAATCGGCACTTTCGCTGAAAACTTGCGCCACTGCGCGCATATGCTTAGATTACCAGTTTACTCCATGTGTTACTATGTAATTCGAAGTCAAATCAGGAGTATGCTTAAGCTCAGACTTACGCTTAGCTCAGTGATGAGGCTAACGCATAGGCTTCGACTTATGTGTGAAGTGCATGAGCACACGAGCATCTGTGACGGCGTTATCAGTAAAATTACCGTTATCATTAAAATTACCTAAAAATCAAGCCCTTTATCAATTTTCAATCGTCCTGCTACAACCACTCAAGCAAAACTACTCGCATATTTTGTCACTGATAATCAAATTCCAATTACGTGATTGCTTTTTTTATCATAAAATGTGTGCCTATAAAACGATGTATTAATAATGTTCATACGAGTCGCCTTCATAGAGACAACGAATTAGCATCATCGATCACATATTATTCGTTCAACACTGCTTATTAGCATCGCTCTAAACACGCTTGGCGAAATGCTTGCTTGTATTGTACACGTTGTTATATAAAAGCATTTGATGTGTGTTGCAGGGCGGAGGAAATGGCATGAACGCCCATTTGTGTTGCACTATTTGCTCATCATATCTCTTGTTCGATTGGAGCAGTTTCTTGCAAAATTTCTTTTTGATTTCACAATGATTTAATCCGTCTTATTCATTTTCTTTCGTTTCAACGTCATTGTTCAATTCGCAGCCTTTATTGAATGAATATGATTGAGCCGTTTTCAAAATAAACTTCAGTGATCACAATTTACATGAAAATTTGGCTGGTTACAGCTGATTGGTGAGTGTGTAGACACACTGCTGTAAGTACAGTTGAACTTCATTCTCAATAGTTTAGCGGTGTTCGACTTCATGGAAGTATTTTCAGTGGAAAATCAGCGCGAGCAATGCAGGAAGTAGCAAAAAGTACGGCCAAGTTGACTGTATGTTTTCACAAATTACTCAACATTTTATTCATTTTGACATTAATTTCAGTGTCATTTCGTATTCCCGTTATATCCGTTTATTGAGAAGCAATTCTCTTGCAAAAGCAAAACCGTGCCTGATCGCTGATGTTGCAGTGAAAACAAATGCACCGCGAAATTGTGTGATAAAAGATGTGATTTAATTAAAGGTCTCACCAGTGAGGTATGCGGACAAGTTGAGTCCAGGTAAACGTCTAGCCGAAAAGGTGAACTTAGTGTCGAATGTATGGGGTGTGTTACCACAAAAAAATGTGCCGATTTATCGATACGATGTTCGTATTATTGAAGAGTTTCCACCGAAGAAATCTTCAAAGAAAACTGCTGAGAAAAAGGCTGAAGTACCCTTCAAAGAGGTCACCAAAAACAGCAGAGAAGAGTGAGTTTCGCTCGTTTTAATCATTGGTTATGAATTTTGGCAAGTGCCTCTTAATCACTGTGGATTTTTTGATGCAGAAAGACAATAAAGTAGTGCACGGAATTACTCGTTTCGTTCAGAAATCACTTTCATTATCAGTTTCCAATGTTCAGAAATCCTGCTAATCGTTTCGACCTTTCATATTTTTCAAGCAAAAAATCTTCGACGAAACATATATTCTTTCTTCTGTAATTCATTTTGGTTGAATAAAAATCAACTCTCCTTCAATTTTAGTTGTGAATAGAAATTTTCTAAACTCCGGGAATTAGATTTTTGTATGTATGAGAGACCTCGGTAATATTGTGGAAAAATTATATCATTATTACGGTATTTTGCATTTTAGTTATGTGTCAATTGAACGGAAAAATAAATGTGTTGCAATCTTTGTGAGAGTGGTGAATAGAGAAAAAGCATTTTTTGGAAAAATGGATGGATTGGTCTATGATCGTGCCTCCATACTCTACTCGCTGGATGTGTTGGATGTGAAAGCGGATGAAGTAGGCATTTTCTCGGGTTTTTTGCGAATTCAATAACCTCTTTTTAGAAGGAAAATTCCATCGTATAACCTCACTTTTCATTTGTTATTATATAAATTAGTCTGACTCGTGCAAAATGTTCTTCATCTCTAATGAGGTGTTCTATGTGGAATTGAAGAACTCACAGTCGAACAATGTTTTCTTTACGGTGAGTTTTCGTAGACCGCGAGAACTTTTATTGTTGTCCTCACGATGCATTTTGTAGTGGATCGCAATTTTCAGGTTAAAACTTTCGAAATTCTACCATCCGAACTGCCTAAGGACGTGGTCAATCCCGAGTGTACTCGCGTGCTTTTCAATGTAACTTTTGAGCATTTGTTTTGGTCGCCGTCTCTCGAATCTATTCATATTGTGCCCGAATTCGATTGTTTTATGATAGTGATAATAATATCAGTGATTACGGATGCAGTTTGTGAGAACAGCAAACAATTCTAAATGAATGCGAATAGGTAGCAAACAATTTCCATCTCAAACGGGTATTTTTCAAATGGTGAATTGGTAATTTCGTGTGGCGTGAGTGATAGCAATTGAAATTGTTGATGATACGTTTAGTGGATTATAGGCTTTTGAATAACAAATAGTGTGTGGTGCAGAATATATTTTCGATTGTTTTTCATTCGATGAAAATTATTTGCTGAAAACTTTGATGAT